AACCTTAATTAATTTTATTTATTGTTTCTGTTTAACTAATAATGCCGAGACCCTTGTTCGCTTGTATTTACTATTACTTTTTTGTTTGTATTTTACTTTTCTCTTTTTTTTTAAAAACTGGATTAAATAGCTTTTTTTTTAAGTTCTAATTTATCGACATTCATGTTGTTTTTGTAAGCTGTGTTTACTTGTATAATTGGTTGTGCAATTAGATAAGATCTTCTATACCTACATTTAATTTTAGTAAGTAACATTGTAATAACTGTAAGTGAACCAATAAATAAATAAAATAAAATTTTTACCATTTTTTTTTGTTATTTTTTTTTCTCTAAGTATACGATGAAAATAGTTGATAGGATGTAACGATCAAAATAAAACCTAGGCATAGATTGCAAATTAAACATTTATGATTCAAATGTCTTCCAGCTTGGGCTTGCAATATTCGCCCATTTTTGCTATTCGGATTATTCGAATAATATAAAATCTTTTATCCGAATATCCTAACGAAACTGATATTTAATACATAGGTTTAAAAAAATAGTCACTCTTTAAAGATTTTCTTGTTATTACAAAAATAAAAATTATAAGTTGATATTGTACAACAATAATAACACCAATTGCCAATTATTTTAACATATAAAAAGTTAATGTAAACGAAGTGAAAGTTTTTTTTTTATAATAGGGTAATCATTACAGTAAGTAGTATAGTGTATTTGCATGCGGATTGATATTTGGATATTTGGACGGATAATTTAATCATAACCCAACAAACAAAGCGGGATAACAACGAATACTTTTAAAGCCTTAAGTCTTATGGTAGCTTTACAAGGCCTACAATAATAGTATTAGGTGGCACTATGAAGATCAATGAATAATGTATCAACGTGTAAAGTGGTGCGTTAGGCTACCACGTTACAGGTTGTTGTTGCAACTATAGGCTGATTTTAACACTGAATGCTTTTTTTGGAGTGCGTATTAACGTGTTAACGCTGTCGCTCTATAACAGTGTTATGTTTACCTTCTAGCGCAAAATGTCGCTTATTGTATTAAATCGACTATAGTAAAATCCTAAAGCTAGGTATATAAAGGTTATAACAGTTATACTTATCACTGTGTAGTTGTTTTAGCGTTTGAAGTGCTGTAAAAGAAATTGAAGACATAGCTTTTTAAGAGCTTTAAGCTCTTTAAGAACGCTTGTGTGAAAGTTACTGACTTTTAAAGCCCTTTTAAGACGTTCCCTTTAATAAGAGACGCTACTATAATATCACCAAAAGCTATTTAACAAGACTGCTTGAAACTAAAAGTTAGTAACCAGATTCTGATATATCTTAGAGCACTAGACTTAGATTAAATCGTGCTTCAAAGTGGTAATATAGATATATCGTAATGATTAATAGTTACAGACTATAACGCCATTTTTGTTTTCATATATAACCTGAAAATGTGAGCAATATCATGGAAATATTTAAATCAAAATCAAAATCAAATCAAAATAATCTTTATTTCATAGGTAAGCATTATTACACTTGAAATCGTCACAATGGTTAAACTCTACCGCTCATTCGTAAGGCAGATTCCCCTGAGAAGAATGAGCAAGAAACTCTAGGGGTTGCTCTTTGTAAATAACATTATTATATACAATATTTTTTTATTTGAAACATCAGATTGAGACTACCTCCATGAGCTAAACGGGTTACTACCACGGATTTTTGTCATCCAAGTACGCAGAAGTTGTATAATAACCTTTAGTATAAAGTTTTTGTTTCACTATAGTTTTAAACCTCGTGAAAGGCAAATTTTGTATATCAACCGGAATCTTGTTATAGAAGCGTATACATTGCCCCTTAAATGATTGTTTGACTTTGTGAAGACGACTATCAAGAAAAGCTAGTTTATTTTTATTCCTCGTATTAATGTTATGTCTGTCACTATTTTTCATAAAGAAATTACTATTCCTTTTAACATAAATTATATTTTCATAAATGTATTGTGAGGCTAGTGTAAGAATGTTAATTTCCTTAAACTTATCTCTCAAAGATACTTTGGGGCCCAGATTGTAAATTGCCCTAACTGCACGTTTCTGCAGGACAAAGATTCTATTGATATCGGCGGCATTACCCCAAAGCAAAATGCCGTATGTCATTAGACTGTGAAAGTAGCTGAAGTAAACCAATCTAGCGGTTTCGACGTCTGAAAGTTTCCTTATTTTTTTAATCGCGTACACTGCAGAGCTGAGCCGTTTTGACAACTTACTTATATGGGGACCCCATTGCAATTTAGCATCTAACGTTATACCTAGAAATACAACTGTATCCACAAGATTCAATTTTTCGTTTCTAACTACAATGTTTGTAACCGTCTCTCTAACATTGGGTAATGTAAATTTCACACAATTTGTTTTTTTCTCATTAAGAAGTAGGTTATTAACAGCAAACCAATCAACTACTTTAGATATAGCATTGTTCACATCGTCATAGGAACATTGGTGCCTTTTAACTTTAAATAATAAGGAAGTATCATCAGCAAACAATACTATCTCATGATTTATACCCTCCATAAGGCTAGGTAAATCATTAATATAAACTAAAAACAAAAATGGGCCTAGAATTGAACCTTGAGGGACACCCATGCTAATTACAGACCCTGACGATCTCGTACCGTTAACATCGACCCTCTGTACCCTACCACGCAAATACGATTTAAGAAGGTCGAGATCACGTCCCGCCACACCATAATGGCGAAGTTTCCTGACCAGTGTATCATGGTGCACACAATCAAAAGCCTTGGAAAGGTCACAGAATACACCAATAGCATCATGTGAGACTTCCCATGCATCAAATATATGATTAATCAACTCTACACCAGCGTCGGTTGTAGAGCGACCCCGAGTGAAACCAAATTGTTTAGGAGACATTAAATTATTACTATAAAAATGTGCACACATCTGATTTAGAATAATTTTTTCAAATATTTTACTGAGAGTTGGTAGTATTGATATAGGTCTGAAATTGGTGGGGTCAGAAATACTACCAGATTTGAAAAGTGGAATAACTTTACTTTGCTTCATGAGGTCAGGAAAGACACCATCATCAACACATTTATTAAAGACACAGGCTAAGTAAGGCGCAATACAATCAACTATAGAACTAATTACTCTGACTGAAAGACCATCAAGATCAGCAGTATTTTTTATATTTATAGACTTAAAGGCTTTAACAATATCGTTTGGAAATACATGACGGAACCTTAAATTAGTGCTACTAACTGCATTATTTTCTTTTAGTAAGGATTCAGCGGCCGTGGGAGATGAATTTAACAATGTAATTTATTGTTCAGTCTTTAAAAAGTGCTAACGTTGGGGTCTAATTCGGACTATTACAAAGAGTGCTAACGTGCTCTATCGCTAAATTTTAGGTCGTATTACAGCTATAAGTGTTTAATAGAACTAATAAACAGTGATTATAGAACTTGTTTTATCGCCAAATTGTTAATTGGGAGAAGAATGGGGAAAACGCGTAACTTACATTCTACTTAGCTAGTCATAAGTCAATAATTCTATGAAAGTTTACATCCCTGCTGTATTTCGATAATTTTGTTAATGTTATATCTTGGAACGGCTAATCCTTCCTATTACATTAGGATAATAAAACCACTTTTAATTAAAAATGTACATGGACTTAATGATCTTGGTCCATCGTACGAGTTGTAGGTGCGTTAAACGCTTCTTCTGAATTCTCGTTTTCAATTATTTATTTACTCATCAGGTCTTTTTTTAACTACTAGATACTTCGTAACATACCGAATACCGACTATGTTCTTACTAATTCAACAAAGATTACCAAGTTTAAAATTTAGTGTCAATGAATAAAAGTATCTAAACTAGTTGTTTACACTATGCAGATGGTAGGTGCGTCACCAAGACAGCCCACTCTTTTGACAAGACAGCACACTTCTTTTCCACATACAATAGATGTATTTCAACGATAAAACGAATCGGTGCAAATAACATTTTGCCAATTATACATCCGTACACAAAATTCGCAGAACGTTTTCAAAAATATTATAAAACACGCACAACCGTCATTCAACCTTCAACACTCGATCCGGCAAACAAAGCGTATTTGCCGGACGCGGCTCACGCCGCCTGACTCTACTCGAGTTAGGGTACCCAGGGAGTGCTACTTAATAGCTATTGCTCTGTCCATCTACATTCGCTACGCAACTGTATGGTTTGTAAAACTGTGCACGAAGTATAACTGACCAGCTTGCATGACCCGTAAGGCAGGGTGCGGGAGACGAGTTCGACACGACTGCGACGCTAATGCGATTGGAATCGCAGGCGAGCCAGCTAACACTTATTTCATTATACAATATTACAAAGCTGTAATTGCCTCCGTTACCGAACGGTTACCATGCTGGGCTGCCACGCAGACGTCACGGGTTCGATTGCCGGGCCGGGAGAAATATTTGTATGACCTACATTTATTTCTCTCCTGAGTTTGGGTGTAATTTGGTTTTGGTTATGTGTCCATGGCACCCGCGATTCAGGTTTTCCCTAGTGCATATATTATAGTATTTTAACATAAAATAATACTGTATGTGTATTGCGACTTCCTCTTTCGATATTTAAAGCACCTAATGAAAGTTGTTTTAAAGTTTAAAGTTCTTTTAGTTGTTTAAATCTATTCACGTATTATTTGAAATATTCGAATTATCTTATTCGTGACGACAAAAACAAACACACAAATTTAACGGATATTCGAATAAAACTAATGTTCGGATATCCGCATTGCAAGCCCTAATTCCAACATACCTGACTTTGATTTTGTTTAAGGCTTGTACTTTAAAGTGTGACCGACAGATGGCATATCAAAGTTATACAACATACAACAATATCAAAGAAGTCATACTCTCAAAGTCATTTCGTCTTTTCTTTACAGAACAATAACATTCTATGCTAGTAAGGTTTATTATGTTATGACTCATTAGTATTACTTGTGCCACCGGTTAAAGCAGACATATATACGTACATTTCTCATTTTATTGCATATATTTGAAATAATGAGTTCTAATTGGGAAAATGATTTAATAATACAAAGGTTAAGAGAATATTTAAAAATACCGAGTGTACACCCTGACATTGACTATGGTAAGTCTTATAAAACAATATTTATTATCTGTATTAAATGAAGTTACTCAGGAACTGGTCATTATAGATTAAATATATTGTTTAAATTTTATTTACTTTTAGTTAATCAGATACGCTCCCTAGAGACAAATTGTGCCCCTAACGATTTTGGTACTGTACTAGAGCCACATGGGTTTTTAATTATAAAATAAGAAAGTACCAAATTCGATAGGGGCACTGTATATCTCTAGGACGTGTGACGGGTTAAGTACGAAAAATAATAGTGATGTAAAACTTACTTACCCATATACGTTAACCAGAGCAGTTAAGTACAAATTAATTCAATCTGTTTAAACTTTTTGTATTAAATTATGTTACTAAACTGTATGTATTAAATTATGTTAGTAAACTTAATAACTACACACTACACACATAACTTCTGAAATAGATTTAAAAAAATACATACTGTAAATTTAATCATCTTCATTAATATAAATAATTTCATGTGTTGTCTCATTATAATAATATTTTTTTCCAAAAACAAAAACATATCAATGTAGTTTCTGTCTCTACATCATCGTACATGCTTCAATTACACCGCGGTTGCCCAATTTGTATAAAAATTTGTAAATTGAAAATATAATAAAATTAAAACAAACGGATCATCTGGAAATTTATGTAAAATCCGAGTACCTACGCAAAAGCAATTTTTAGTACATTTTCCTTCCCAACGCTAACGAAGGAACGGGCAACACTTGTTCAAATACAACACCGTAATAAATAGCAAACTACAGATTTAGATTCTTTCTTCAAGAAGTAAACTGAATAACTACACACTACACTCATAGCTCCTGGAATAGATTTAAAAAAATACATACAGTAAATTTAATAATCTTCATTAATATAAATAATTTCATGTGTTGTCTCATTATAATAATATTTTTTTCCAAAAACAAAAACATATCAATGTAGTGTCTGTCTCTACATCCTCGTACATGCTTTAATTACACCGCGGTTGCCCGATTTGTATAAAAATTTGTAAATTGAAAATATAATAAAATTTAAAAAAAACTGATAATCTGGAAATTTATGTAAAATCCGAATACCTACGCAAAAGCAATTTTTAGTACATTTTACTTCCCAACGCTAACGAAGGAACGGGCAACACTTAATAAATAACTTATTTTACAGAAGAGTGTGTTGAATTTATAAAGAAACAAGCAGCCGAACTGGAGCTGCCTGTTAAAGTATATGAATTTGTGGCAAAGAAACCAATAGTGGTGGTCACATGGAAAGGATTAGAGCCAGAGTTGCCTACGATTATGTTAAATTCACATATGGACGTAGTTCCTGTTAATGAGGTAAGAAAGACATCCAATGTTATTACTATTAATTTATGAACTGCTCCGTGGCCGAACGGTTACCATACTGCCGGGAGAAATACTTATACGACCTACATTTATTTCTCTCGTGAGTTTGGATGTGATTTGTGGTTGTGTTTGTCTATGGCACCTGCGACACAGGGTCTCCCTAGTGCGGGGCTATGAGTGTGTGCGTATATATATATGATATAGAGGATGACTTTTTCAAAGTCAAAGTGGATTAATCTTTATTTCACAGGTAAGGTGAACACTTGAAATCGTCACATTGGTCAAACTCTACTGCTCTTTCGTAAGGCAGATTCCCCTTAGAAGACTGAGTGAGAAATTCTAGGGATTGCTTTTTGTATATGATAAATGTGTTACAAATGAACATTGGTATACATTTATCATTTACAACATTTATTTTAAATAGATAGACCAAGACAACCTGTCAGAGTTAAGCGGGTTACTATCATGGATTTTTGTCATCCAACTACACAGAAGCTGTACATAAGCCTCGTAAATGCCAAATTTTGAATATTAACTTTAATTTTATTATAGAAGAAATTAATTTGTGATTTTATGAAGATGATTGTCAGCAACGTCCAGTTTACTTTTATTCTTCGTATTCATAACGTTTAAATTAAATTCTTACGTTTCCGCGATTGTTAGATGCACATAGGAAATGAAACTATTTGTTCGGATACAAATCGCGTATATTTGTTTTTTTTTCAAATAAACCAAAGATTCGGATCCTTTACAGGTGATCACGGGATCTGTAAAGGGTCTGAAAAATGTTTGATTGAAAAAATAAATATAACTCGATTTAGATTCAAATTTACGTATAATAACATTCATTGAATCCGAAAAAATAATTTAATTTCTCTCAAGGCGCAAGGTATTGATTTTTATTGAATTTGACGATGTTTTACCACCGCGATATTAATGAATGTTTTTGTGAAATAACTCCACTACTTTGTTATAATTAATAATATAAAGATCGAACACAAAGAAAAATTTCTTCGGTCTGACAGGATTTGGCAGTAGGGTTCGCTTCACCAATTCGGTCACAGGTCTTTATTACCGTCATCAAGGATATCCGAGTCGTGGAATAGTGGCTGTTTTTCCTCTGCTGGAGGAACTCACATTTCCATCCTTTGAATTTACTCGTAGTTTTTTTATTCTTAATGTCGCCGATAATTGGGCTCATAGTCATCCTCATGTGATAATTAGTAGCAGTAGAGCTCCTTGAGAAAGTGATCGTCCAGGGAACTACTGCCACCTTACCTATTTCTGCCGTCAAACAGTAATGTCAGCATTACTGTGTTCCGGTCTTGAAGGATAAGGGTGCTCGTGAAATTACAGGCACATGAGACTTATCAATTTACGTCTCAGGGTGACGGGCGCAGTGGCAGTGTACTTCAGATCTTTGCGATTTAAAGTTCTGATGGCACGCCAAGTGTTATAGACAGGCGTGTAGCTTGCTTTGTCAACTTACATCTTAGCTAGCTTACCATCAGACACACGGCTTGTTCGTCCCGTCACTTGACATTATAAAAAAAAATGAATTCTTAGTAGAATCCTGAATTATGAAACAAAATAGACGGTCATAATAGTTATTTTTGATATAAGTGCGGAAAGTTAGTCATTATTCACGAGGCTCGAGGCTTCTTGGGCCGAGCCAGAGGCGAGGGTCAAGACGCGAGACAAGTGAAAGTGACAAATCCGCACGTGTATCAAACGACGTTTTTTAATACATTTGCGAAAAAACTACATTGAAAGTAAAATAAAACAGTATTTAAAAAAAACTCATTTTCTGCTAGTAAATTAAAATAATGAAATCCAACCACTGCAATCATTATTTAAAAGTCTATGGAAATATAGTTCTAACGTGCTGTTTTTGTTTATTTTCTGTAATATCGGTCTGTAACCACTTTTCTTATTATGAAGTCCTGGTACTTTTGTTTAAACTTCCTTAGGAACCCGTGCACGGTAGTGAGATACAATTGATCTGTAATACATAAAACAAATATATACATAAAAATCTCGCCTGTTACCAATTCAGGGGTAGGCAGAGACCTCCACTCGATACGTTCATTATATAGCATTTGTAAATAAATATAAGTTTTAATGACGAATGACTTACGTCACAAAGCACATAAATATTAAATAAATATACAACTTCTTTAGTTCTGTGCTTAAGATTTGAAACAACAGTAAATTAAAAAAAAAATGGAAAAGTAAAAAGCACTAGTGCGAAAATTCCAACTTTCGGCACGATTTGTAGTGCGAAAAATTACACGTTTTGAGCAACTGTATTAAAAATAACTTTAAGATCACAAGAAAATAAATACAAAGTATATAAGATTGGCACACAGCGGGGAAGGGAGGATGTTACGTACCATATTTTAAGTACATTAGTTCATTTGCTTACTCAATACAGGAAAAGTGGTTAAATGTAATTTTTCCGCATTAAAGCGGTAAACCCAAACGTAATTTATATAAAATGTTTACATCACACGTGTAAGTAGCGTTTTATAAATATTGTTCGGGAAGTATATACCTTTTTCAGTCTCTTATCAATACGAAAACAAATATGTGAATATACCTACATAGGAGTAATCAGGTGCGTTTAGGATTACTTATATCGAACAAGTGGTAATAAATAAGAGGTTATACGAATGTCTACGACAAACATCAACTTATGTAAGATTTGCATTAATTCTAACTCCGAGGATTATCTTGTAACAAGATAGGCAAAAACTGAGATAACATAAAACCATGATAACTCTACCTTATCAGCTTTTCTTTAATACAACCAATAAAGTATAAAAGTCATAAAATTATTGAACAAAAAACATGAAAAGTTTTAGGTATTTCCTGTGTAATGTTTTGTTTTCATACGTAAATATTAGTCTATGCCGTACTTGTATTACTATTTAGATACTGATAAATTGTAGTCAATACGGAAAATTTAGAAACGCTTTATAATAGAAACTCACCAACTGAGAAACATGGTAAAGAGTACAAAGGGTACCTCACAGTTGGGAGAATATATTTAATCATAATTTGTAATCTCGTGATACAATTTCACTAATGGTGTAATTAACTACTTTTTTGTAAAAGGATTGTCGTTGTTACTTTAAATACGAATTCTACAGGCCATAAATTAAATGGAAACACATATCTTCCAGTTAACATTCATTCGACATCGACAGCGCAACGTTTTGCACTGTGGGCGCTGGAGTTCCTCATTTAATTTGGGAAAAATACTTTTCTAAATTGAATCTGGTCTGGGGTTTCTAGCTATCCTGGAGTGGATTGCTATTGTACTCTCTATCTTTAATATTTTTCTGTAAACTCTAGCAACGTTTAAGTAAAAAAGGAAATTTCGAAGCGTTATTAGGAACGAAATTAGATTTTAGATACATGGAAGTGAATTAAACAGTACGCAAAATAGCCTGATTAACAGTCACTTTAACATACGCCATATATATACTGTTTTCGACCCTTTCTCCGAAGCTCCGAGACTAAGGAAGACTTTAAAAAATTGCGTACAATTAAATGGAAAAAAATATTCCAAACGTCTTTTATGCGACTTCAAAACCTTATAAAGACTGGATCACATTACTAATGAGCAGATTATTTTATGATTTCAATAAAGAGTTTTCGAAATTATTTCTAAACATTTTATTTAATTTTCGATTAACAGGAACAATGGACATATCCTCCTTTTGAAGCTCACGTTACAGAGGATGGATGGTTGTATGCTCGGGGAACACAAGATATGAAAGCACAGGGTATGGCATACTTAGAGGCTATTCGGAACCTAAAAAAAGCAGGAACTAGATTAAAGAGGACAGTCCATGTTACCTTCGTACCTGGTAGGTCCGATCTTTTGATATTATGCTAATCCAAACTAATATTATAAATGTGAAAGTAACTCTGACACGTTTTCACGCCGAAAGCGCTGAACCAATATTGATAAATTTTGGTATAAAGATAGATGGGATTTAAGAAAAGGACTTAAGTCTCCTTTTTGTCAAAATAGACAAAAAGCAGGTGTAAACCAATAAAACTATGAAAATTAGTATACTATAGTGCGCTTCTGGCAGTATTGATTCTACGCAGACAAAATCGCGGGCACCAGCTACTATTTAAATAAAACGCTTACAAAAATAAGTTATTTTTATTATTGATAAAAACATTAAACAAACTCATAGAAAAATTCCTTTCATCTGATTGAACTCGAACCATCGCCTGTTGCTACTGCTACCGCTCTGCCAACTGAGTTACGAATCGAGCCAGCAGATCTTACGAATTTCTCTACGTGCTAGTTGCGGCACTTTGTATTGGATTTTAAACAGCTTTTTTGTCGTCAGTTATTTTTGCTAACGAACGATTTTCATTAACGAACAGAACTTTTAGTCTTGAAGAGGCAAAATGGAGAAACATTAATACTACTGTTAGTGTATCAGCACTGGTGTTCCACAAGGTGCAGTTTTGTAGCTTCTCATTTTTATGATACACATTTTCTTGTGACTGGGTAGTAGACAACATATTCATTCATAAACCTTGGTGTATACGGTTCAGATGAAGAAATTGGTGGCGAGTCTGGTATGGGCGCATTTGTCAAGACCAAAGAATTTAAAAAACTTAACGTTGGATTTGAATTAGACGAGGGTGGACCCAGTCCAAAACCAAACGCCGTTCATGCTTTTAATGGAGAAAGAACACTTAGACGTAAGTAAATTTATTTATTTATAAATACTTCTTTGAACTGGAATTCGCAATGGAGGACGTCCTCCATAACGTGGACGGCCAGCTTTACCGTTCACCTTGAAAGTTAACTTAAAATCCAATATGTTACGTAAGTTTAGTATATTCAACTATATATTGAAATAAATAATCAAATATATTTGAATATTTATTTTTTTATACTTTTGAAATATAAAAAGAGTTTTGAAAATTTAAAATTCCGCGCTGAACTTATTATATGTTTAAAATTGACGTTATATATATATATTGTTTATAATAGACAACATCACAGTAATTAATTAAATATGAATACATATAAAAATCAACGTCGATGTAAGAAACACAAAGTTAAAGTTGAAGTTGAAGTTGAAGTTAAAGTTAATACATTGACCCGGCCGGGGATCGAACCCAGGTCTTCAGAGTTGGCGACACTATGAAAACCAGTGTGCAAAACACTAGACCACGGAGATCATCAATGTTGTCAACATCGTCTGTATCGATAATATTAGGAAGGCCTATGTTTTATTGTGAAGCCGTTGCTAATGCGAGAAAAAAGGGTCAAAGCATTAAAATGTTCTGTTCTAATATGTTAGTCTCAACAATAGTTGTTTAAATTCTTTATGAATGACGTCTATTTTCAAGGTTGATAGAGCTTTCTTTGCTTGTTGATGATAGGTATATTTCTGGTACGTTGTAATAAATTAAATAAACAATAGCTAGTTTGACGTACCTACTCAGTATACTATTCAATAAAATTGGATAACATTAATCAGCTAGTGAAACTGAAGTCCGACTCGTCGAAAAGAATCGTTTAAAAGTACGTCTAATGGTCCTTGAGATGTTGGTTGATTTTGATCAAACTTGTATTTATTATGAACATTCTCATCGTATTAGAGACTTGTTACGATTAGTTTGACACATTTGTCATCACATGATGCTGAATCTACCTACTTCAAAATGAATAGCAGATGTGTCACAAGATAGCAAACGTAAACATTACTATTATGTAATCATAAACAAATGTTTGGTTACAATTGTTACACAAAAGTTTATCAGACACATAAGAGTTAAAATTGCCTGTGTGATAAAATAAAAGATTATTTAAGGACTTGATAAACTCTAACAAACAATGGATACTCAGACAAGAAAAAGAATTGTTTTTTGTTTACTTTTAGCATTTTATAAAGAATATTGTAGACACTAATGAAGATATAAATAGAGAATAGTCGTAAATAGCCGAATAATTTATTATATACATTGTATTCTTTGAACAGATTTGAAAATTACTTGCAAAGGAACTCCTGGTCATGGCGCATTATCTTCACAGATGGGAACGGCTGGAGATAAGGTAATTTATGAACTAGTACCTTGTATTTTTTTTAATAATATCAAGTGACGGGACGAACAAGGCGTGCGCCTGATGGTAAGCTACACGCCTGGCCATAAGGCTCAACTCACACTGGTGCAGAGTCGAAGCGTCGCGTTGCGTCCTGTTTTTTAACTACAACGCATGGCGACGCGCATCGTCGCCCGACGACACTCGCAATAGCACGCCCGGATCACAGTGTGGTCGGCATCTGACGCCTCACTGCGCGCAAGGAACGCATGACGAAACTGCTCAATTCTAACCAAGAGTCGACCCGCGACTCCATATTTGCATAACACAAATTTGTACCTTAATAATGGGAAAATAGAGATTAATATGCTATAGGCGAAAAACATGACGCGTCGCGACGCTTCGACTCTGCGCCAGTGTGAGTTGAGCCTAACAATTGCAGTGCCACTCAGAGGTTTAAATCGCAAAGATCTGAGGGGCACTGCTACTGCGCTCGTCACCGTGAGTCATAAGTTGACAAGTATCATGTGCCTGTTATTTCACCAATTAACTAGATACCTATCTCACTAGTGACACTTAATAGTGTTACTTAGTATAATAAAGCCACATCTAATCATTTGTCAAAAGCGCTTTTATCACATGAAAATAATAAAAATAATACGTACTACATGATACAAGTTATATATGTATATGTATGTCAAATATTATAACTCTCCTATTCAAGCGTAAACAAAGTTGCGATATAATAATAATAATCATTTATTTCGGAACAGGTCCATAAATTGGTAGTAAATTACAAAATGCTTAGGTCTAAGGGTTAGTTATTTGCACAATATAATATGATATGGATATTATAGCTGAAATTACAATCTAATTTTTGTAAACGTTTCTTGAATTACTATTCTTTATTTTTATATCTAAACATTTGCCAATACGAGCTTATTATTCGTGCAAAATATATATGATTTCTTAAGTAATTTTCACTACGTACGCACATATAATTTTTCTCATGTGTATGAGGAAACCTCTGAGTTCGATTCTCGTTCAGATTCCAGAATAGAAAACAAATTATTTTGTAATTTTCAAAGCCCAAAATGTATAACACTGAAATATATTTCAACCGAATATTTATTATTTAATAAACGTAACATTCTATACAATGTATTTCTCTCATTTGTTTCAATGTAGTTGCTGCGCTTTGATGACTTGTGCTAATTTATTTGGAGATTCTTTGAAAAACGGCGGAATTTCTTGTCTATGTGGTCGTTGCTTCCTTACACTGCATTGCATCATTGCTTTGGTAATGCTTCGTTTCTAAACGATACATTCAAAATTGGGATTTAAGTAGGTATAGCTTTAAAATACAGAGTAAAAAGAAAAAAAAAAACACGGAGAATTTTCACTTGTCTATTTTGTATTAGCATACATCACAATACGTTTATAATTATTTTTAAATGTTTCGTTTTAAGAATGTTAAGTATACAGTTCAGAACAACAGTTGGTCCAAGACCTTTACCATGTTTTAAAATACATACTTCTTCCTGCAACCGCTAGAGTCGCTGTACAAGTACACTAGTGATTGCGTAAATAAACTTATGGCAAATTGTAGGTCATCTTTTAGCCTAGGTTTATGTGCTTAGAAACATTTTCAATGAAAGCGACTTCGAACTGTAACCTTATGATAGAGGTTTCATGTTTGAGTTGTGCTTTTGTGTTTGTGTAATAATGTACAATAACGCTTTTTGGCTTTTCTTTGTAAGTTAGTACTGTTGTAAGTAAGTAGTGTTGTCATATTCATTTCATTAATTGCGTGTTAGTCATAAATTATAAATACTTTTTATATTTTTTATAGATAGCCAACGTGTTAAACAAGTTTGTGAAGTTTCGTGAAACAGAGGGAAGGAAGTTCAAAAGCATTTATATGTTGGGTGATCTTATTACCATGAATCTTACCAAACTTGAGGTTGGTATTTAAGCGTTTTATCTTCTACTTGAACATTGTTAAAATAACAATAAGTGTCATTATCATGCGCAAACTAACCTTAGTACTTAGCAATAAGGCCACCTGTTGTACATTAGCTTACTCTGTGATGTGATACTTACATTACTGTTACGTGTTGTCATTGTAATTTTAATGTGCAATAAAGAATATTTCATTCATTCAAGTAAATAGCAGTATCATTTCAGGGTTAAATGCCAAAATTTACATGCTTTTAGCTGGCTGTAGCTGACAGATGTAAGATAACTAGCATGCATTTACACGTGGACATGATAACAGTTGGCACGTGTATTATGGCGTGTATTATGGTATAAAAAGTAAAATTTTCTATGGAAATGTAATAAAGTTAAAGTAACTATTAAAATTATTAGCAATGTAGCTGTACAATATTACATAATTATATTATTTTCTACGTCTTAGGGACATAAGGGACTTAGGGGAATTATTGTTTATTACGCTATAACAAATTCTAGTCTTGCAAATATCATAGATTTTTCTTATTTTTCGTAATGTAATTTCAAATATTTATTGTACGTTACGAATTTTCATTTATATATTACGGAAACAAGAAGTACTTAGTGTCTTTATAATTTTTTTAAATAGTGTATTTAATGAGCGAAAGAATGGCATGGCGTACCACCACCTGTTACCTTTTAACTGTACCCAGATAGGTTCCGTTTGAACGCACTCCATAAGCAAATTATGTACATTTTCAGGAATTCCACATAAGTACTTCGCAATTCGGTGAATTCACCCGTCGGATCAAACACAAAAATTTGTTTATTAGAGCGTGTTCGGATCGAAGCCTTTGCGCGGTGACAATTTAACCCCTGTTTAATTTTACAACCCAAGTGTCAAACCAAGTAAACAAGAAGGCTCGCCCTGGATGATCTTGTTTCTCCTGGTACCTCATATCGAAATACTCCTTCCAACCTCTCAATTTGCAGGTTTTATTTACAAGGTAGCGTCCCTAAAATTTTAATGGCATCTTATTATTTTAGGGAGGGACTCAGATAAATGTGATGCCAGATCAATTGTCTGCATACTTCGATATAAGAATTGCACCAAGTGTCGACCACGTTCAATTTGAGAAAATGGTAAGGAAGAATGTCATTAATGATCCTTATAGTACATAGGCCAAAGCTAGAATTATTTGTAAAAACTATTAAAATGTTTGTATTTAAAGTCATTTACAAATTTGCAGTTTTAAAATATCCACATTTACAGCTTTGTAGATAAATGAAATAAAAATCGTATTTACATGTCTGCAATTAGGAATATTTTACTACAGACACAAGTATTACGCTTTACACACAAGTTACAGGAGGCAGACCTGTACCATAGTGTAATAACACTAATAGGGCAACTCCCGTCTGCTTAGCGCATCAATGGCTATAATTTGAAGGGTAGGGTTGTCACATTATTATTTTAGTTGTGTACCTTCAGGGAATTAGGGGACCACTCGTCGTTTTCCTGGTTGTAAACATAATTAGCAAAAAATTGGGTTATGCATCACAGTAATCTCATGCAATATTGAAATAACTTTTGTCTAGTACTACTTACATATTGATATTTTTATACAAATATCGCGGATTAATACCTCGATTATGAGAGTATAATGATGAAACAGAAATGTAATGCGAGTTTGTCTATACATAACGATACATTTGTAAAAAAAAGACACAGAAAAATATATTAACTATTTTATACACCGAGAGAACGCTTCACTTATAAAATGAATGGCGTGTCCAACCCGCGCTGCGCAACTTGAGTACCTACACCGATTATGCGAATGTGTTCGTCCGGACACGGGGCGTGTCTCGCTGCTATATTTGTAACAATATTTGTCCTATTATGCTATGCCTATACCCAGCAATGAATAGGAATATAATACATAATATACGCAATTTTATGGTTCTATGTATTGTTTTTTGAGTTTAATCATTTTTTAGATTGAGTCTTGGTGCACCGAAGTAGGAGATGGGGTGACGTGCGAATATCTTCAGAAAAACCCGCCTGTGCCAAATACTAATACAGACAATTTGACTTTTTACAATGCTCTAGTCAAAGCTACGAATGATATGTGAGTTTATATTATAATTTAAGAATATGGAGCGCAAGTAAAAAAATACATAGCGACGAAATAAAACCGCCATTAATTATTAATCACGCGGGTAAATGACTAGCATTTGAGATTGGAAATTGATAGTTCAAATTCCACAAGATGGCGGTGGTCAAAACTAAACTCATGAGCCTTCAAAGAGAATTATTACGCCAGGGGACCCGTGTCCGTGTGGACAAAAATTCCTATAAATACGCCAGCGGTTCGTAGCAAGGGATTCTAATGGACGGAGTAGAATTCAACTATGCTAATATAAACCTTAGTTTGGTGAATTGGAGCTATGCTAATGCTCAATGGTATATGGTATATGCTAAATGGAGGACTTCCAGCACTTTTCATCATCGTTTAAATGTAATGTAATACAAGGAAATATATTTCAGGGGCATCGAGTTGCAGTGTATAGTGTGTCCAGGTACAACAGATGCACGTTTTGTTCGGAGTCAGAACATCCCAGCTATCAGTTTGACTCCTTTTACCGATACGCCTACGCTACTTCACGCTAATGATGAAAGAATACACGTGGATGTATACAAGAGAGGCATCGAATTGACGGAAAAGATATTAATAGCCGTTGCTAATGTTTAGAAGGCTAAAACCACAGTATAATAAGACCAAGCAGGGCAACTGCCGCCTGTTCGGCGTATCAAAGCCTACACTTTGCTCGGAGTCTAGGGTTGTCATATTATTTTATTTTAATTATTTTAGTTGAACCTACAGGTTGTACCCATAGTTTGATAATAAAGTTTCAACAAAATATTTGTATGACTTCACCAATTATGCATTCTCAAGGTCACGTAGTGGGCGGCGTTTGTCAAAAAAATGGCAAGACAACATCCGTTTAAAAAAGTGCATCATAGCCGGTCTATCTAGGTTTACTTTTGTGATCTGGAACACCCAGATCAGAATCACTCTACAAAAGTTAATTTCGGGAGCTCCTTATCTAACGCCACAGACCGTGTCTAATGCCCATAGTGCTAAGCGCTCGACCGCCAAAGTCGTCAAATAAACAAATAGCATTACTTACTTATGCTCAGTAGGTATCGAGAAGAACGGCAATTCTGAATTTGAGTAATTTTTTAAAAACCGACTGAACGTTTCAATTCTACAACGAATGGTTAGTGGGACGACTCGCGGTATGCAATGCGAGTGCACTGCGAGATTATTTGTTTGCGTACACGGCGCGCGACAGGCGTGCACACATACTAGCCGCATTGCTACTTTTGTATGGAGTTACCATACTTGATCTTGACAAACTATGCTAAAACCAAATAATTAGAGTAGGTACTTCAGAAAAACTTCAGGAATTTTGGCACTTTTAACACATATTTATATTTATACCCCAGGTTTGGTTCGACTAGCAAAGGTAATACATAACCTTGTTTAAAATGAAAAATAACAGGATAAAATTGAATGACGTCAAAGATCATTGAATGACGTGAAATAAGCGAATGTACTTTAATATTAAATAACATTTTTTTTGCGGCGATTCAGCGATTTGTCAATGTACTACTCGTATATATCATAATTAATCCTAATGTCGTAGTATTATTAAATTATTAATATATTATATATTATTAGCTACTAAGTTTTTCAGCCTACTGTAAACTAACGTTTTCATGGCCAATAATACGTTAGGCGTGTCAATGTAAATAGTCACCACAAGCTAATGACACACTAAAAAAACGGGAAATCGCTTAAAAAACAAAACTTTACTGAAGAAATATCGCTACGGCAAAAAAGTCGTTAAAAACTAAAAACAAAAGATCTGCACACAAGCACATAGAAAAATGTATAAGGTCTGGTGGTTCGTTCCGTAGCTCAATTGGGAGAAAGTCTAGCACGGATAGTTTGAGGGCGCTGGTTTGATCCAACCAGATCAAAGGAATTTTTCATAATGTTCTGTTCTATCTTTGTATTAATAATTATAACAAACTAGTTGAGTAATTTTGCAAGAGATTATTGAATATCATGGAAGTAATACATCGTAACATTCAATAAACGTAATAAGAAAACCTTATTTAAACAAAAAAGGAAAACGTGCATGCATTTCCGTGTGTTTCGTTTTGTATTGCACAATTTATCTGTCGGGCCTTATAGCATGTCGTGTGCCGTCTCTCCAGAGGTAGCAAGCTATATTTGTATGTGATAAATTTTTTGGATCGAAAAAAAATGGATTACATCATTGACTTACAATTATAAGTCAATGGATTACATTCATGTAATATTTGTTATCAGTATTTATTACTATGAAATATTCTTTATTGCACATTAAAATTACAACGACAACACATAGCAGTAATATAAGTATCACAGAGTAAGCCAGTGTACAATATGCGGCCTTATTGCTAAGTAGCAATTTCTTCCAGGCATCCTTAGGTTAGAAATTTAAGAGTTGGAAATGGGGGTGCAGCCAAAGATATGCAGCCAGAAAGATATCTTGTAATGAAAGCGTTTAAAATAAATAGACTACTCATCAATAAAGTAAATATATAAATAATAATAATAACTACATATATTATTAGAACGTATGCATAAATATTGATATATAATAATAATAAGGTTACTTATATACTTTTGTAGGACAATAAAATAAATTATAAATAGTAATAACAATTAATAAATGTACAAAGGAAGATTACACCACTAAGCAAACAGCAAATAAAATTAAGAGAATGGAGCGAAAAACAAGAATTAGTAGTTATGGAAATGTTATTCCTTAGCGCGTCTTTTTAAGGAATCAAGAGAAGGAGATCGTCGAATTGATTCAGGGACAGAATTCCATAGCCACATAGCAGATACAGAGGGGAACATGTTTAGTATGTATCAGAAGTGTAAGTGTATCAGAAGACCGAAGAGGACGGCAGGGCGTAGATGAGTGAAAAGTAAAACGTTCTTTAAGATAAAGAGGCGTAAAGGCATAGAATAAAGTAGAGTTAAGAACGGAAAGTGTGTGAAGGTCTCTACGCCGGTGGATGGGCAGCCATTGAAGTTGTGCGCGAAAGTCAGTAGCAGTAGTGGTTGTCTTAAATTTTCTTTCCGTACTTACTATTTTAAACAGCAAGCCCACTATTATTCTACGTACTCCTTCACAAACATTTTCTATAGCTAATACAGTAAAGTTGACAAATGAGCCCTGTCAGTTTTGTATATTTAACACGCCATAAGAAAAAAATAAAAAGAACATATTTATTAGACATTATATTGTGATTACGTTTGTATAAAAGATTATATTAACAAAAATATTACAACACTTGAAATGAGGTCTCAAATACATCTAATGTTTTCAACCAATACCAAAAAAGTAGTGAAGAGCCTGCGTCGTTTGCGGTGCAAGCGAAGTAAATGGGCTATTGCTTCTCAATATCATTTATTATTGCACCATTTGCACCTAAATGTCCGATTAAAAGGAAAATATAACTGTAAATATTCCATTTTAATCGCATGCCAACTAGAGGGGTTATCGTTTGCATCCGGGCGGTACATCTACCGGGGCCCATGGGCTGCACTCGCGCTGGTGACATATGCTGTACTCTATTTTCTTAATAAAATACACATCAGCACATTTTGTTACGATCTAATACAATTACTGCACTTATTCTCTTGGTATCCAAACACGGACAACCACATGACGAAACAATCGAATAATATAAGTCCTTTGACACTATACGCATGTCATTGGACAACGAGGCCCATGACATCTTAATAATTATTATGGTGTCTTATGTATGGTAGTATCTTATATAGAATGGCTTCCTGAATACAATATCTCTGCCTAGTGGCAGAAATTCGACTAGCGTGCATTTAAAAATAACGTTCTATAATACGTATTTCCTCGCCTTACAATTTAAATAACATTTGTACGCATTTGTCTTCTCATTTGTATTCCGACCTAGTCCGACCGTTGATGATGAGTGTAATAATTTTAATTTAATAAACAATATTTGTATTCTGCATTTCCATATTACGAGTAGTTTACTCTTGCTCATTTATTCTTGGCCCATTCGTTGGAACTTTTGTAACATTTGGAACACTGTCTTTAAAATGCCTTTGTAAGGTAATATTGGGTAGATCTTTAATTGTTTTATTACGTTTTAGCTTTGCAAAAACATTTATAATCGTTTGGAAAATACCATATTCACTGCTTGTAAGTATCGCTGAGCTGGGCGCCAAAGCGGTTGGCAAGGGTTTCTTGTAAAATTGCTCAATTTGATAAAGAGTCAAATGTCTTGTTTCTGGTAAGACGATGCTTATAAAAACAGCTCCTGAAAATTGAGTTAATTATGTTTTTCAAATCTTAACGAGCTTATCAATAGATTCATCATCATCATCATCATCAACAACCCTTTTTACACGGATCTCCTCTCAGGCGACGGTTCATAGGCCATAGTCCCTTACGCTGGCCTAATGCAAGTTCGGAACTTCGTATGTTTTCAGAGAGTTGTGAACCTTCTTCGACGTTCAGATTTCGTCATGATGTTTGCCTTCACCGTAAAGCTTATGGTAAATATGAAATTAAATTTCGCACATAAATTCCGAAAACTCAGAAGTGCGAGCTCAAATTCGAACCAAACGGCCTGTGCTTGAGAGGCAGTAGGTCAAACCTTAAGGGCGCATTTATTCGATACGAATTTCATCGCGCTCACCCCGTGCGGTTGCCGAGCGGTCGCCGCGCAGCGACCGCGCGCGCTTTTACGTTTTAACTTAAATGAGCGTGCCGGACACGCGGGCGAGATTAGCTTGAGTTTGGACTACGCGGCGGACCGCGCGGCCTAGTATTATTCAGAGGAATTTAAATGTTGTTGCCTATTACCCCGTACTACTATTTATTATTATTTTTTCTTTCCATAAAGGAAAAGGCAAAGGTTTTACACCATACAAGTCAAGTCTTGGTACATTATTCTTTTTTGGTACATGAAGTTGAATTACGTTTCTGTAAATATGGCCGCCACAAAGAGGATAGGCAATTTGAGGCGGCGTGCTTTGATTGACTCGGGATTCCTTAGAACGGGTCGATACGGGTATTTTAGTTCAAGATTCGTATAATTTCGCGTTTTAATCTTCGATTAAGGCACAATAGCACTATCCTATTCCACTTTAAACTAGATTTCACAAAATAATTGAAAGACAAAATAAAAACGACACTTTTCCCTCCAAAAGGTCCAGAGCGAACCCCTACCATTTATTTAACTTTTGACGTATGCATGCCTCCGAAATTCCGTAATTTTTTATTTACAACCATAGACAAAAAATGCAATACTGCCTGGACTCTTTTATTTTTTAATTTTAGTGCAACGACGTGCTCTTTAGCTACGATATTTATCGGGCCCACAGATTATGTAACGAAAATTATTCAAGTTGATAAATTGTGGTACATGTCTAATAAATTATAATGAAATGAAATAAATTATTTATTTATTTATTTATTATTGCATTGTCACACTTATTAATAATTTACGTACAGTGGTTTGTAAGTGTACATGTGATACCGTGTAAGGGCACAGTAAAGTAGAGAGGGCACTCACTTATTATTAAATATAATGGTTTACAATCATATATCATCATATAGAGGTACAATCATATTATTTATGATGACTTATTCAATATGGTAAACACCATATTAAATAAATCATCACATATCATACACAGATAAATTGATTAAAAAGAAGGATGTCGAAGTATTTTTAATTAATTTTGATCATTGAAAAATTATTGAATGTTATAATAACTTTTATTTATAAGGAAGTCTTTTAAATATTTAGAGAAAATCTTAAATTCTTACGGCGGGTAGCTGGAACTCAAGTTCAATGATTCGGTAGCTCTGGATCTTATCGGTTACGTGGTAAAAGTACCACTACTACCGCTAGACGGCGCTGTAAATTTTTTGTTGTATTGATGGATGACAATGGCTTTTTGATCATCTGATTTTTAGGTTACAAACAATGTATTTAGGCATCTGCTCACCTTACAAGCTCAGTGGTCGCAGGCCCTTACTGTATTTAGATGTGTTCAATAAACACTGCAGCTTATCCGCAGATCTTTACCACGTTTTAAGCCGGTGTATTGGTGTTCAACGATTTATCACATTTTTCGGTGTTACTGTTAAGGATTTCGCAGATAACACTTCCACTAACTCTTCTTGATATAAATACTTAGTTTTTGTACACTACACACGATTTTAGCAGCAAATACTATTTTAGTAAATCGTTATTAAAATAGTAAATTATTAATAATTATAATAAATTCTTACTGTTTATTATAATGAATTGTCTGATTCTTCTCCATATGAACGGGAATCATCACTTGAATCCTCATTAACATTATTTATTAATTCTTGAATACACAAATTGTCAGACGCAACATCACGATCTTAATCGGACAATATCTTCTTTATGGAACCCGCTCATAATCACGATTAAAACTTCTTCATAAATAAAATCAATTCTTTTAAAAAATTTAATCGGAAACGCATTAGCACATCACTAATTGATTAGAAATCGATCTGTCAAAAGTTAAATAAATAGTTGGACGGACTATAGTAAATAGAATCCACATTCGCTATTCATGTACATGAAGGCGTAGTAACTGGGCGGTCGCCGCGCGAAAACTTTTTCGTTTAATTGGGCGCTTAGGATACCACGGCGCTATTAATAGATTAGTAGATAGTTATTAAGTACAAATATGGTCTCCTACAACAGTGTAGGAGACCATATATATAATGTATATATAGTGTACTATATCAATTCGTCTGCGTACTACTGCCAGACACAGCTCTCCAAAAGAAAAGGTTTACGTCATTGTCCACTATCTTGTCAATACAATTAGAGACTTCATGGGTAAGTTTCAGGTTAGTTTTCTCCACCTAATTTCGGTGGTAAATCTGTTATTAAATATTCCAATAAATTATCGTGAAATATTGAATAAGATTTCAAGATACCACATGCGAATATTATTTCATGATAATATCCTAGAATATTTAGGTAATACAAAATTGCCACCGAAATTATAAAAATTAAATAAATAAAACTAAGGTCAACACCGCAATTTCTATGGTAGTTTTAGTAAGGCAACATCGATCACTAGTGATTGAATGAATGACTGCCATCATTGCCAATCCGCCGACACCCTATTGAGACTCAACTGCAATTGCAACAGGATTTTAGCAGATCATCATCATCATATCAGCAGGAAGACGTCCACTGCTGAACATAGGCCAACCCCCATAGATTGCCACTAGCCGGTCGGACGCAACAAGCACCCATCGGTTACCCACCACCCTTACCAGGTCATCCGTCCATCTAGTAGGTGGCCGTCCCACTGAATGCCTTCCGGTTCGTGGTCTCCATTCGAGAACTTTCTGCCCCAACGGCCGTCAGTTTTCACACACAGTTTTCGGCAGTCAGCTGCCACTTCAACTGCCACTTTTAGCAGATAATAGTTGTTAATTATTATCGTAATATTAATATGATCTTAGTGGAGTCTCAATGGAATTACAATGTCCCTTTACGCCATAAGTACCATATAATAAATACTTAATGTAAAAATCGCGTCTTACCTAATATAGAGAATATACCAAATAATAATATAGTATACGGCAGGGTAAGAGCACGCTTCATAAAGGGAAACGACTGTATGCAGACAAACATTATCAAATTTGTTACCGCTATCATAATACCACCAAGAAGACCACGGAACTGAAATTAAAGTTAATTTCATTATAGTGATTATCATGATCTTTTTTACTACCATGATGTTCATTTGTTAAAGGTTGTTAGTATTGTAAAAATAACCCTGTATAATAAAATAAAATAAATCAAAATATACACACTCACACACTCACTCACACACTCATAATTCGTGTTCCATTTGAATGCAAATATACGTACTGGAGGTTTATTCTTTTCCAACGCAAAAAAAAAATTCGATCGAAGTTTCGCACGTTTCTTACCACAAAATTCCATTTAAATGCGAAATTTCGTTCGAACGAAACTCGTCTGACGTTTAGTTTTTCGTTACTCTAATTCATGAAAGGTCCGAATTCGTTCGAATTTGGACAGATAATTCCTCGGAATTATAATGTGAAATTGACGAAACTTAAAGTGCTACCTTTTGATTTTCTTAAATGTGAATTTTGTTAAAAATTTTATTGCAATGACTGCAACAATGCTTTTGGTGATCGAGACTCTGCGTGTAGAACGTTCAGAGCATATAGAAAGAACTGTCGTCGCCGCCAGTGTAACCAACTACGTATAAATGAAATTTCCGACTTAAAAGTTTGTAGGAAATTACAGACACAATCCGCAATTTTTTATTTATCATTGCATTTCACAATGCATATTTTTGTTTGAAGAGTAGTGCCAAGAAATAGTGCCCTTATCACATTCAAAAGAAAGACGTCGTGGAAACGAGCTCACGATTGTTGTTCTCGAGTTGGGAGAAAATGAACTCCAAACTGAAAGAAGGTTGCCTCTGAATTAGCTTCTACTTCAGCTCAAGCTCTGCAAGTCGGCCGAAGAACAAGAGTGTTAGTGCAAATTTCGGAAAACATGGACAAAACAAAGTTCTACCCAAGGAAATAAAGATTGTGCAAGCTGAATAAATAAAATCAGTTTACTGCATTGTATTGTTGCTTTTTTTTTTAGGAGATAATGATTACGAAAAATCTCAAGAGCTTCAAATGCCTTCATTTTGATATTCATAATGTAAATATCACAGACCACTGCTAAATATTATATAAACGGTACTCTTCAAATAAATCGGATAACAATGAGTATTTTATAGCGTCTCGACCAATTACTTCAAAAATATATTTATATTTGTTTTATTTATATTTTCTTCATGAATATTCATGTCATCACAATAAATGCTTAACGGACCACATATTAAAAGTAAAATTTAAAAATAAAGCAAAACAATTGTATTAATTTTACGTTAAAATACAAACTGAATTTACCGTAGTTGACATCAAAAAAGACCTAGACAATTCATTTATTCCATTCGTTCACGAAAATGAGTGAGTAAGTGTTTTTGCTTAGACTATATTTTTTTCCATCCTCTAAGGGTTTTTGACGAAATTTCGTTCGTTAACGAAGTTTCGTTTTCAAGAAAGAGAGTAGACCTCCTAATTTAGTTTTCTCATAATTCTGTTATCTCTTCTTTCCCTTTTATTATTTCTATGTTATAATGTAATAGTTATTAATTGCACCTACATAGGGTAACCTGGTACAGGTTCCGATCTCTCACATTGACCTAACACGTTGTCATTTCAGCCTTTGTATGGACTTTGTATTATAAGATCAATACCATTGTGATTGGAAATAAATAATTATTATATTTTTTTTGTCAAATTACTCTACTAGTTTGTTATAATTTTTAATACACAGATAAAATACAAAGAAACTTCCTTCAATCTGACAGGACTTGAACCTGCGTCTGTATACTAAACTAGGGTCACCGCGAACCGCTTTGCGCTACAAATCGAGTCAGCGGATCCTACAAAGGATCAATTTTTTCTTCCATACAACTTGAGCCAAAGATGTACCTCAAGCAATGTAGTGGAACCGATGATGGATAGTGCAACAATCATGAACAGTTTTGAACTATGCCTACCGCCAAAAATAAGGAAACGCTAATTATTTTATTTCACTTTCATAATTTTTGATAGATGAGGAAGACGTCGGTTCAATTTTGACAGCCCTCTTTATTCGCCATTATCGCGGTGCGAAATAAGTCGGTAATACCAAATTTAAAAAAAAACAACGGAATTCATTTAAGGACCGCGCCTCAAGAACTTTTTATTTAATCATATTTGAATGTGGTATTTAAGAGTGTGTTTTGGTATTATTTTAAGCATCTAAACAAAACATAACCGTAAATGAATAACATAACGTCTATTGGAAAATTTGAGGTATTTATTACTGGATTTTATTTAGCTGTTTAACCCAGTCATGGACATTTTTGTCCATAATCGGATTTTATCATTAAAAAGATTTAACTACTTGTGTTTATTATCCTTATAAAGTCAGACTTTTAATTTAGTAGCTTGTTACATTGTTTTAAGTCTACACAGTAATGGAAACAGTGTCTGTCACTAGTCGTCTGTTACTGGACTTGATTTTTTTAGCCAGATAACCAGTCACAAATCGGTTTTAAGAAACATTCCTTTAGAAACAAGTTTAAATACCATGCAAGATCTCTTTTTTTAAGATTAAATTAATTAATTTTGCTTTTAAGCTAAATTAATATGAACTATTATAAACTATGTGTTGTGACTATGATTGGAAACCGTCCATAATTGGAAATTGGAATGACCATATAAGGATACTCAAACAGGGTCAACTTTTTCGCGAATAAAATTTTTTTCTTTGTCAATTGATCTGATTTAAGCACTTTCAATCAGTATTTGTAGCCTTTTTAATCAATTAAACCTTCCATCGAGTTCCACAGGGTAACTCATCTTAAATTAAAAGACTAAAACAAAAAATAAATCCTTAAACCGTCCATGATTGGTTCCACTACCTTGTTATCACATATTTTTAATAAAAAAAATACGGCGAATTTATAACATGTCAATTATTGGCAACGAGTATATAACCAGAAATAGAGACGAAATAAGGGCCATATATTCCTGGTAAACATTAGCAACAGCTCTTATAAGTATCAACTCCCGTTTGGACTGAAATATAGACCGGCCAACTACTGACCTATATGTACGTCTCCGTATATTCCAAAAAATATTCTGTATTTATTGTAATAAAGATATTAATCTCTAACAATGCCGTGCTATTCTATTCGGTGGCGAGGGAAAAACAACAAAACATCTAATTACAAATAAACTTAATCACATTTCATCGGTAATTAAATATTAAATATGTAATTTTGCAATTTTCGTTCATTATAGCAAAGCTCAAGTTAACTGGTCGATTTGAAGTGATACAGTTGACGACACCCATTGACGCTTAGACTGTGGAAAATAAAGGATATGTAATGTTGACATATATAAATCAGACATTATATGTATATGATGCATTTCGACGTTGAAAACATAAACATGTTATTGTCTTTGTTTAAGTATTGCGAGCCAAAAGAGATAGCATTACATTGGTCTGTGTCAAACACGGGAATTGAAAATACGTAACGTCATCTTAAATGCCAATCGTGTCCATTTCGCAGTACATGAGGTACATGATACGGTTGTCAAAGGGGAGTACATTAAATGTCAAAACAAATGTTTTTCCAAGAAATTTATTGAATTATTCGCACGTATTGCAATAAAATGGGCAATGGACTCTTAATATTTTACAGTGAGAGCAATTAAGTATTAATAAAAATTCGTCGCTGCAGCATTACGGGATGTGGCATTTGAAAAAGCGAAGATCGACCGAATGTTACATTGTACAGGCACGTGTTATTTTTCTGTCCATAAATCACACAAAAGCCCAATTATCTCATTTAGTTAGACATATTTAAGTGGTTTATTCATAAATCTTGCCAAATTTTGCTTTGGTTTCTTCAGATTGCCTGTTTGTTTGTATATTTTGATGATTGTTGTTAACAATAATTTTGAGATAGTGTTGTTCTTGGATGCGTACATACACATTATCGATGTTCTGTTATTAAAATAATGTGAATTATTTTAATAACAGTACGAGGTTTTTATTATTTAATTTTTAAAATTTCAAGTTTACCTACAAATCAAAAACGAAAAAAGAATGGTTGGAAATCATACCGCCATATAATAGTGCCGAATATAAACATTGAATCAAAGACCATCTTCATTTATTCGCTTCATTTTTAAGAGTCTAATTTTAACATAACTTTGAATGTAACTAGATTACATGATAATTCAATTCCATCATTCGGTTTATTGGTAAATAATTTTATTATAGATTAAACAAGACTCATTTACTAGGTATTCTCAACAGTTTATACTAACACTGTCGCTTGTTACATCTCCTGTTATACCATGTTTTAAGCAAATAAACGTATGATAATATATTATAATATTATTATTGATGATAAATATTACTATTTTCATTTATTTCCAAAATTATATGGAAGTATTAAAGATTCACTTAAATCAGTTATGACTTATCGATAGATTATAGTACAACACTAAAGAAATCCGCTATTTGTTCGTTCAATTTTTGTTTAGGTATGCACGTTCATTCCGTAGTCAGGGCAGCTCCTTTCTTTTATTTTTTTTCCATCCTCTAAGCATTGACGACACCCGTCTATTGTTTCGAACTCGGGCTAGCCAATCGGAGCGCAGTTGTCACAGTAATGATATAGCAGAATAGTTTTCAAACCAATTAAATAACATTTCGTCTCCATTTCTGGTTATATACTCGATGATTATTATTGGCAACACAACATTTATACATGGCAATGTCTATATTTCAAATGGTAGGTATCCAGCTATCGGTAATATTTAAAAAAATAGGTCTAATCGTCTTACTTAATAACCACTACATCTTTTATAATTTATTCATTATGAGTCTATTATTATAATAGTACTATCTAATAAGGTTGGCTAAAAGACTATGTCAATACGATACGATACGATATCACATAGGACATGGTCGACATGTCGACGTCATAGACTTTTTTATTCCTGTGTTTCATTCTTAGGGTCGTATTCCAGAACTCTACTCAATGCTCAAGTCAGGACTTGAGCAGATTTGAGTATGATTTCAAGCACTGGAAATACGACCCTAATCGCAAGGACTTGAGTATGATTTTCAGTGCTCACTGCAATACTCAAGTCCTGGCTTGAGTATTGAGTAGAGTTCTGGAATACGACCCTAAGATGATTAAGATTATAGGTGCTTCGTTTGATTCGCGCCTCTGGAGTATTACTATTTTGAGTTTTTGATATATTCATCATTGAATTGTTGCTATTCTTTACGGACATTCTCGCGATCGAACGCCTCTAGATCGATCCCGATGATTATTATTAAAGCTACAATGAAAGCTGTCAAATCACGACAATGTACGTATCGTCGAACGCAGTATTATTTATTTATATAATTGAAGAAATTCATTTTTCAACATTTTTTACTAAAATTAAAAAGATTTCAGTAATGAATACGTTCGTATATAATTTTAGAAATTTTTTGACATAACTTGTACCTCGGTACATAATTGGGGCCAGAAATGAAGGGATCCTTTGTCTAAGTGTTTGTCATAGCTATTTTCTACAGGGTTTTTCGGTGGCAGCGGTTGCCCTAGTTTGGCATACACATACAGGTTTGAGCCCTACAGAACTCGAAGGAATTTTTCTGTGTTTGCTCTTTGTGTTAATAATTATTATAATAAAAGTTAATTTTTGTAGAAATTGCAAAAAATATACATACGTGTATACTTGGCACATCTTTTACGAGTATACATAAATGCTAGTAACTTGGTCGAATTGATGATATATATAAATCAACTCATCCGTAGAACAAAGATCTATGTGCAAGACTACTTGTTTTCAGGACATAGTACATTTCGTCCGTTTTTCTTCGCTGTGGATGTCAGATCGACCGTGGTTCGATTTTATATTTCCGAAACGAAATATATAAATTCCCAAAACACCTTTACATAGGACTTAGTTTGAATAACGAAATTATTCTCGTAACGTACTTGTTCTCTTTTTGCTAATAATCACATACGAATTTTTCTTCGGATGAGTCGAAATGTATGTAGGTATGTGTATTTCATATATTCAACTACATCTACATTAGTATATACGCCACATCTGGATATAAATACCTTTATCTACTTTGGCAATTAAAAGACGTGATAACCATAGAATTGCTCGGTGCTTCTTCGCTTTAGAATAACATCACCAACTATGGTGAAACCACGTACAGTAAAAAAATTGTTATACATACTGCCATCATTGTTATAACTAACGTAATCGAGTTTTTTAGCGAAATTGAGTTATTCATACATCTGGGATTAGCAAAACGAGATCTAGTGAGTAGAGAGAGGAGGAATTTCGCACACAAATTCCGAGAAACTCAGAAGTGCGAGACCGGATTCGAACCCACGACACTTTACGCGAAGCAATAGGTCAAACCATTAGGCTACCACGGCTTCAATTCATGCGACATTTTATAACTCTCTTATTTAAAAAATATATTTAAATATATATTTACTTATTTACTTATTTAAATATATATCTTTTAAAAGTTCGTAGAATTTATAAACCTGTCCTGAAAAGTTGTCGTTTTGCATATTATGTGGCCTTATTATATCAAAAGTGCGACATTTTCCTCGATAAGTAATTACGTTATGGTTTTACTTTGGATTCTTTTATGTGACTTACCTGCAAAGGAATTAGTTCAAATGCAATCAATATAGGTAGACTGTAATAACCAATTGTACCAAATGCAACGTAGATAATTAAAGCTAATTGCGGGACAACAGACTCTTTAGTGGAATATAAAAGGTAGATACTTAAAAGTATGCACGTAACTGCCACACCTAGGGCTGAAAAAGGACAAAATTAAGGTCTAGATTATTGTTAAAAAATAACAAATACCATTATGGTTCCTGATAATAAAGGGCGAGCAAAGAATTGTGTTAATCTGAATGTAAAGCAATGCTATGCTTATATTTTAAGTTAGAATATAGTAAAAGTGCACGTAACCCGTAACAGTGCCTCTAGCCCTCTACCATAATTTTATAGTGACAGTTATCGCCAGCGACCGCGTAAAATGTTTGTATACAAAATGTTGTTTCTTCTTGTGACTGGTAGAGGCGCTGTATAATTTGCTATTACAATTTAAGTAAGTTATTTAAGTAAGATCAACGACCTGACAATAACTTAACGCAGCTTACGATACTAACGAGGAGTAACTAACCAGAAAGTATTGCCAAAGGTCGCCGCTTGATTTTAAACAAAATAATTGATGTTAAAATGCTAATAATACTTCTGGTTGCACCAAGGGCAATATTTCCGGCGTGTGGGTCGACAGACGATCTGCACTCCTGCAAATAATTAAATAAAATAATTTGTTTATTTTCACTCGCAAAAACAGCTTGTTAATGAGACTGCACTATTACAGGTCTTGTAGTTGGCACATGTAGGATAACCAGCTAATAGAAGCGTATATACATATATTTTGGCCTTTAAAAATTACTTAATAATGCTAAATTCGTTAACACCACCAGTCAAGTACACTTAAGCGACGAGCACGTTGAAAGCATTGACGCGGCAAAAGATTATAAATGGGTAATATAGCTTTTTCTGAATATCGTATCGAAACCATATATCAATATTCAAAATCGGATTTCGAAACTATATATTTTCTGAAACTACATATTCATGGATACAGCCCGCGTGCGCGCTGCGTTGATACATTGCCGTTACTGATATGCGAAATCAGATCTCGAAACTATATATTATTGGATATAGTTTACAAGAGTTACCAATGTTAGTATACAGTTTCGTAGACGAACAAAAAACGGTTTCGCGTTGATATCCACTCAGTGAATCTATAGTGAAAATCTGATTTATTTATTTATTCCTGGAAGCACTATCGAAGTAATATCGGTATATAGTTTGGAAAATATATGATTTCGTGTTGGTACCCACTCTGTAATCGCTCGGCTTGATTCGGCATCGCTATAAAATACGCGATGCGGAGCAATATCGATATATAGTTTCTAAGATATACGATATCGGATTTTCGATATTGCCACAATACATAGTTTCAATAACTATATACGATGTGTAACGCCCATTCCTACAAAAGATGTGTGTCACGATCATAGCAAGTGGAAGGCTGGTCTTTATTTTACCGCTTTGGGATAAGGACGTAAGTGTATGTATGTATTTAACATCGCATGAAACCACAATAGGAGTGGCTGATTAAAAATGAGTTCGTGGGTAGACTAGGTTCACGATAGGTATGACCTATGATGCCGAAGCCACGAACTGTAAACGGACCTCCGTATTGTATCAAGGTTGATATAGTAATAGGTATTACTGATATACCGAGGTTGCGCTTGTGTTATTTATTTTATTAATTCTATGTGGAGCAAGAGTGGAAAAATGAACTGCATGAAAAATATTCAACACAAGCGCAGCAATTTTATTTTTTTAATAATTAATTTTTTATTTAATATTATTTTAATTATATTTGACCATCGCCGGGATCGTGAAGTAGCAAATTAATTTACTTCCATTTTTTTTAACATGGACCTCCGCAAAATAACGCCTGAATCTATAAATTACTTAAACACTTAAATTTTATCCAGTAAGGAAAAAGTACAAGGACGTGAGGCGCACTATAAGTTTCCGGAATTAATAATAAAAAAAATTCTATAAATGGTCAGAAATGAATTTATTGTTTCTCAAAATATTCTCCGTTAGCGTTAATGCACTTTTTCATACGAATGAACCAATTTTGAAAACATATTTTTCATACTCTTCGACAGTCTCTTCAGGTGATGATAATCGTTGACCGCATAACTGGTTCTTAATTTTTGGAAATAAATAAAAGTCATAAGGTGCCAGGTCGGGACTGTACGTGGGATGGCTCATAATGTCAACATTGTTCACCTTCAAAATTTCATTTGTCTGTCTGGCCGTGTGGGAACTGGTATTACCGTGGTGCAAGATGATACTGCGTTTACGGTTATTTTTACGGAGTTTGTCAATAACTTCCAGCAAACAAATGGTCGTGTACCAGTCACTATTCACGGTACAACGATTCTCCAAAGCAACAGTAGCCACGTGTTCAGTTTTATTAAAAAAAGAAGCAATCATCCGCTTAGAGGCACTTTGCACGCGCGCCACTTTGGTTGGTTTCGGCTCATCTCATACGCTCGATTTTTTTCGATTTCATCACCTGTTACTATCTCCCACAATAAATTTGACGCCCCTTCGTTGAATCTGGTAAGCATGGCATTGCACCAAGTGACGCGATCGTTTTTTTGAGCCTCAGTCAAAGTGTGTGGGATCCAGAGCACAGCTTTTTCACACCCAAATATTTGTGAAATATTGATTGTATTTGACTCATACCTATGCCTAAAGATGTGAAATGAATCTCATGGTACTCGTATGTTACATGCCTGTCTGTTTTGATCATACGGCGCACCGCAACCATTTTTTTTGTTGTTCACAGCAGTGGAAGGGTATCACGAAATTTGTCACTGAGATTCACAAAACCGCGTTTGAATTCTGCAAACCAGCTATAAATAATCGTCTTGCTTCATCGCCAAAAGCAGTTTGAAGCCGAGCGAAGCTCCGCTGAGCTGTTAAATTACACTTAAAATCGTAGAAAATCATACTACGAAAATTTTCACGAGTTAAATCCATGGTGATGTAGACAACCAGTTTCTAAAATGACGCCCCAATGTAAAAACAAGTGACAGTCAGATGGAACAAACTGTATTCTACAGCCAAAGAGTTCCATTTTCAAATGTTGTAATTACTTTTTAAATATTGTTTATGTAAGTGGCCAGTTCCGGAAACTTATAGTGCGCCCTATGTACCTTTAATATCTCTATAGTGTAAAAAAATAAAATTGTTATTCCTGAAAATTGCGCAAAAATTATATAAGGAAACACAATCCAGAACGGCTTGCAAGCGGCCGGCTTGAATAAAGATCTAAACAGCTCTTTCGTTGTCAGTCTGAAACATAATATTTTTTTTTTATTATTTTATTTTAATGTACTTTAACTACACTTCACAAAAAAAGATACAAAATTATAACCTACGAATCTGATTCATGTCTCTGAAGTACAGCAAACTTTCCATTTCTTTGTTTATGTTGTAATTAGGGCCTCTAAATTTCTGCAAAGTTATTCTTGCTTTCGCCATAGTGCTCGTCATAAGGACGTAGTATGGCGTTTCAGGGAGAAAAATGTTAGCCACTAAGAAAATTAGTGAATATATACCACCAATTAAGCTGAGAATACGCCATTTTAACACAGAACCAAGCGCAGCCTGAAAAATACATAAAAATAATGGTGACGCTAATATTTTCCTTCATTTTTAATAGCTTTTTATAGCTATCCCGTCTAAAAACTTTGTGCACGCTACTGGGCTTAGCATAATTTGGGACACAACACTCGTTCACTTTCCGTAAAAACCAACTGGGGCGTTTTGAGGGCTCCACCTACATCTTGGAGCCCAAGCTAACCTCACCTGCAAGTGGTGCGCCTGCTGATAGACGGACGAGGCTCTAGCGAGGGGTTTTCCCTTTCGGGGGTTGGGAGGTCAGACGGCAGTTGCTCCCGTAAAAACCAACACCGCCACATCAACTTATGGAAGTCGTCAACAGAAGGATATTGCATAGGGATAGGGCGCCGCCGCAAAACGGCGCGCAGGAGCCTCGCCCGACTTCTGTGGCAAGTGGACTAGGGCTACCGTGTTAAGGGTGGGCACGGTTAAAGAGGCGAGCCCCTACCCATCACAGGAAGCTCCGTTTTGCCACGTGGAACATTGGCACGCTGACTGGACGCGCAAGGGAGCTAGCAGACGTGCTTTCCAGGCGGAGGGTCGCCGTGGCGTTCCTCGGTGACTCGGTGGAAAGGCAGCAGATCCCGGTTCATTGGGAATGGCTACACGATGATCTACACCGGTGCTCCTGGGAGCGAGAACGGGGTGGCCGTGGTGCTCTCCGAGGAGTTTCACGATCACGTCCTGGAAGTGAAACGCTTTAGCGACCGGCTTGTGGTAGTGAGGGTGCTTATCGAAGGGGTCGTGACCTACTTGATAAGCGCCTACGCACCTCAGGCCGGTTGCAACGACACGGACAGGGCGAGGTTCTGGGATCAACTCGGGGAAGTGCTGAGTGCCATTCCTTTGTCGCAGCAGTCGTTTTGGGTGGCGACCTGAACGGTCATGTGGGTGAGGCGTGCGAAGGGTTCGAGCGGGTCCACGGTGGCCAACTGCAAGGTCATACCAGGTGAGAGTCTCACTGCGCAACATCGTCTTCTTGTCATGGATCTCTGTGTAAAGCCGGCCGACAAGCCCGCTGAGCGCTGCCGACGCCAAATCAGATCAGACAAGGTGGCGGCTTGATGGTACGACGTCACAGGAGTTCATCTCAGCGATCGGCGATAAATGTGCCGACACTGAAGGTGATCTAGTCCAGAACCACTGGGACAACATTCAGGCTGCCATATCTGAGGCGGCGAAAGCGGTGCTGGGCTTGTCCAAGGGTGGTCGCAAATGTGACAAAGAAACTTGGTGGTGGAACGACACAGTCCAGAGGGAGGTGAGGGTGAAGAAAGTCCTCTTCAAAACGTGGCAAGCGTCCGGATCTTCTGAAGACCGCGACGCATATAGGGATGCCAAACGTGCCGCTAAGAAAGCTGTAGCCAGAGCCAGACGGGACCACTTGCAGCCGTTGTACGACAAGTTGGAATCGTCTGAGGGGCAGAAGCTTATCTTTAAGCTGGCACGTTCGAGGGTCTTAGCGGCACAAGATATTTCTAAGTGTCGCTGCATTAAAGACCCTCATGGCAACCTTATATGCGAGGTCGACGCGGTGAAGGAGAGATGGCGCTCATATTTCCACGAGCTGCTGAATCAGCAGCACAGAGAGGTGCAGCCTCCTCCTCAGGTCCTCCCTCCGAATCATTTACTAGTGCGACCGGTAACGCCTGAGGAAGTCTACTTAGCTTTTCGTCCCATGAAGAATCGGAAAGCTGTCGGAGCCGATGGGGTTCCCATCGAGGCCTGGAAGGCAATGGGTCCCCGTGGTGTGGGCATCCTTACCGGCCTCTTTAATCGCGTGCTCCTCACCGGTAAAATCCCTAACCAATAGAGACTGAGTATTATCACTCCAGTCTGGATCCTGTTTTTGCCCTAAGGGTCATCATGGAGAAATACAGATTGAAGAATACGCCTCTGCATTTCATTCGTTTCTTGACATGCAGAAGGCCTTCGACTGTATCCCCCGTGTAATGATCTGGTGGGCACTAAGATCCATAGAGGTACCAGAAACTTACATTGACATCATCCGAGACATGTACCGTGATTCCCATTCCATGGTTAAGACTGCTGTTGGTGACACTGAACCCTTCCCTGTCACCGCCGGAGTTCACCAGGGCTCAGTTCTCAGTCCCTATCTGTTCAGCGTGATATTAGACGAGGTCTCAAGCTCCATCCGAGACACGCATGAGCAACCGCCGTGGATGCTTATGTACGCTGACGATATCGCGCTGGCGGATGCGGATAGAGGAAGACTGGTACGACGAGTGAATATGTGGAAGGAGTCGCTTGAGAACGGCGGTCTGAGACTAAATGTGGCGAAGACTGAGTACATGGTCTGCAACGCTACATATCCCCTACCCGTACGCATAGGCGAAGACGCGGTCAAGCCTACGGGCCAGTTTAAATACTTGGGATCTGTACTTAGCGCGTCCGGAGACATCGACTGCGACGTCAGAGCCCGAATCGCAGCCGCTTGGGCAAAGTGGCGTGAGGTGACTGGTGTCATTTGTGACCCCAAGATTAAGCTGAAAGGACAGGTCTATAAATCCATCATTAGGCCTGTCCTTTTATATGCCAGGGAAACGTGGCTTGTGGTACTTGAGCGCCATAAGCAGGAGCTGCGTGTCACGGAAATGAAGATGCTGCGCTGGATGTGTGGAGTTTCACGGAAAGACCGTGTCAGAAACTCCCGCATCCGCGGCAGCCTTCACGTCCGTGACATTGCAGATAAACTGCAAGAAAGCCGCCTGCGTTGGTACGGCCACATCTTACGGAAACCGGCATGCTACGTGGGAAACAAACTCCGCCGGGCCCCGGTAGAAGGGGCAGACCCAAGAAGTGCTGGCTTGACGTCGCCAAGGGTGATATGCGTGCCAATGGTCTCACCACTAAGGATGCCGAAGACCGTGCAAAGTGGAGGAGAAAAAGTAGGAAAGCGGACCCCGGGCTCCGCAGCAACACTGTTAAGGACGCAACCGGGACAACGCTCAGATGAGAGAGAGAGAGACTCGTTCACTTTTCGTATGTTCATATTATGTACGTATATTCGAAATTAAATATTTAGTAACCTCAATGGTCAGTCCCAGAGATATGCCTAACGTAATTAAGACACCGACAGTGGCTCGCATGTTTGGAAGGGTTATTTCAGTGATGTATGGTCGTGGCGCGCTGGTAGCCATTCCACATCCGATTCCAGCTATGGTTCTACCTAGAAAATTGTTTAACAACATTAAGTGGGCATGTAGAGGCTAATCAACCTAGTACATGGACAGCACTTATTTAGTACCACACTCCAAAATGTCACTACTTTGTGCGCTAGGGCTTATATTGATTAAATAAATAATTACACTTTATCACTGACGGCTGATCCCGTCAACTTTCTTGTATAAAAGCAAGTAGGGCTACGTTTAGGATGATTGCCATCATGAAAAAAAAAAATTAAAACTCCCTTTTCCTATTAGAAAATTAAGTGGCGACACTTACGAATATTTATACGAACAGGTCGGTGTCTATGCTGTCTTAATTCAGGCACATTCATCCATGTATGCGTGTAAATCATGAAATTGTGTCAGTATGTTGTTGATACAGCTACACATATAAAAAATTTGGGAATCGCACTGTAAAGCTCGTAGTAGGTTTTTTGAGATCCATGTAGCGAAACGGGGTAAGCCCGCCCTTACTATCATATTTTGGTATTTCATTTTACGCTAAACGTCGTTACTGTCCATGAACGGCTTAAGCAAGTGTAATAAACAATGTTGCAGTGTAGTTTACCAAGAATAATATCCTTAGGCGCCGTTGCACGCCAAGTGTACAACCAGCCTATAATCATGGGCACTTGACTGCAAACTAATGCTGGTTTTCGCCCGCATTTGTCCATAATCCACCCGCAAATAATACAACCTAGAGGGGCTGTGAGATTTATCACGCTGGCTGAAAAAAGCGTAAACATTAGACAACATCACATACGTCAATTCTGATTTATCCGATCCCTTCGGTACTACCGGTTTACTTCCCCGATCGGTCCATTTTCACTATTCGTCTACATTCCCAATCGGTCCACTTGTCCAAATGGTCCACTTTCCCGATTCGTCTATTTCCCATTTCGTCTACTTTGCCGATCGGTCCACTTTCCCAAAGTAAGTAACTAAAGCATTTGTGTTTTGGAAATACGAAACAACGACGGTACTACAAATACCCAGACCCGATACATTAATGAAAAGTTTTTCTACATTGACGCAGCCGGGGATCGAAACCGGGACCTCAGAGTTGGCGGTATCATGAATATCGCCGTGCAAGCTCCTCCACCACGGAGGTTTGTTCATACAAATAAAGTGCGCATTTGACATTCCTATCACGTGATGGAAAGTGACGATGAGGTCAAGATGCAACATGTCGCACCCTTAGCATGAAAGTAACCTGATTCGAAAATTAACTTTCAAAAACAAAAATTCGTAAAAAAGTTGAAATTATGTGTTGGGTCACTTTCATTGTAAAGGTGCGATGTAGAAGAAGATGTACCTGAAAGAACATGCACACCTAAACAATGCCTTTAGTACACTCTCGCCTTGAAAAGGTCCAAGTTATAGTGTTCGGGGGAATAAGTCCGCAGGCAGGGAATTCCACCAATAGCCTCTCAGCTCGCCATATAAATATAGAAGCAAAACGCTTCGTGCCAATCCCGGGAATGTTCACAACATAGGGATGGAACCTCATCCTACGTCTATCACCCAACGATGGAAAGGGGAAGACGGAATTAACTCATGCAATTCTATCGCACATTCTCCTTGATATATTCTGTAGAATACCGATAAACAGGCAACTTTACGACGTTGTCCATGGTTCTCCAGCTTCGCCTCTACTAGGTCGTCATAAGTTTATGCTAAATAAAAAGTATGAACTACCAAACATGTAAGTTAGAGCTTTTCACCCATCAAACTTACGACCAATGAAACAGAATGTTTTAAATTTGATTGTCTACAATTCGACTATCAAATGTAAATTAAATGTCACGGCTAATGAAATCCAAAAGAAAAATCAACTATATTTTATTTTAGTAATGAAAATAGTATTTACCAATCCAAGCTTTCTCGTATTCAGTCGGAGTTTCTATAGTTTCATCTCCTTTCAATGCTGGCAAAGTAACGGCGGAGAACCCAAATGCCATACCAGCACCAATAATGACCATACCCGCCCATACACCATAACCCAATTGTATCAATGAAGTTTTTGTCCAAAACCTTGGATACTCGATGATGGGCAAATCCGCTCGCGCCACCGAATGATCTTCTACATCCATTATATTGTTTTAACCCATTATATCAGATAATCCCAATAGTTATTCACTGCATGTAAACAATTCATATTTATCCTTTGGCACAATTTCAAAAAGTATACACAAAGAATGTAAAGAATTCAAATTATTGCGAAAAAGAAAATTCGAATCAAATTACACTTCTTTCTCTTGTAATTTAATCATAAAGGATGGAAAGAAATTTAATAGAACGTGTGTACAATATTATAATAGTTGTCTGTACGATTATGAGTCGACGTCATAATCATACAGACAACCATTCAATGATTGTATCGTCAAAGAGAATAAAGCTCACTGTACCCTTAGACTATGGATTTCTATCCTTTAAGACTGTACCACATCGAGCATATAACCAGTGCTCGAATGCTGTACCATGAATGACAACTTAAACTTTTGATTTACGCTGCTGGTATTCCTCGCCTGATCCTTTTTTTCTAATCCCGTTTCCAAATTTAAAAGTTTTCCCATTTTAACAATAGTAAGGCTAAAACGCTAAGCGCGAAAAGCCAGGAAAGATAAGAAAAATGTTTTGTTGACTTTATACAACATCATTGTGTTGACTTTTCCATCCTCTAAGTGTTGACTCCACATTTCTTACTACATTTTTTTTATGTCTCTTGGTACTTCGCGGTAAGCGTTTTAGCTACTTTTTTCTATGATAATCCCTGTGACATACATATATCACAAAAATCTACATAATATAACCTAGTAACGATGTCCACTAATTTACGTATTTTATATGGTATTTTTATTAATCTCGCTTTTAAGTGAATAAGTTTTATTTAAGCAAATACATAAAATTAGAATAAAAGTAACACCAAATTAGTGAAAAATGAGCAGATAAACTTTTTTTTTCAAAATTAATTTATTTTTACAACGTACAAAGGTTACTTCATTAGACTGCGTTTGCTAGAGATGAGGTATATCGATAATTTAATAAATAAATATATAAAGTTGGCGATAGTACAAATCCGCGTATGTATTATCATTGGTAAAAGGCGCGTATCTGCACCAAACCAAATTTCACAAGAGAGGGATTTAACTTTATTACTTTGTTCTTTCAATGGCTACGACTTTCATTTTTGCACAGTAAGCATTCATTTATGTTGTCTACGGAGTGATAATAATAGGTTCCCGCAAATCACGTTAATTTGATTGCTGATTGTTGTTGATTGTTCACCTATGGCTATTGAATCATAAACAAAGACTGCATTTACATTCCGGTACCTACTCCATAGAAATATCGTATCGGATATCGGAAATAAAATAAATATTATTTATACACAATTCATGGGAGTTTCTTATTTTAAAAACTCAATTGTTACCTTTTTTTTAAATCCGTAATATTATACAAGAGAGAACCTTAGCTTTAAAAATCTATCGACTTTACCTCATACCAACGAAAACGTGAAATGAAGTCACAGGGATCAACCCAAAAAAATTTGAAGCCTGTTTCCATCCTCTATGGAATTTACCCATTAAATGATAAAATAAATAGAGAGGGTAAGCTTTTCTTTAGAGCATAAGAGGACTGGAGGCATCATCGATAGGCAGTCCCCTCAGTCAATGTACAAGCAAAAAACATCCAGCGCACAATAAACACTATTTCCGAATCGATTTTTTTTTTTCATTTCCATTATCGAATTCACCGCGTCAAGTGCTCCACGAAACAAAAAATCTCTGCTGCATCCAGTTTATCCAAGGGTGGAATTACATTTCACACATAAGCCTATATTTTACATTAATTAATAATTTTCTATTTCAAGACTTTTTTTCACTACGATCACATTGATTCAATTTATCGATTACATAAATAATATTTGAAAACATTCGAACAATTGACATAAGCGTGCATAAGAAATTCCTTATTTACCTTAGACTATGGAAACCAAAGGACATGTTATATTGACATATATAAATCAGACGTTATATGTAAATGACGCATTTAGACGTTGAAAACATATTTTATTATCTTTTTTTAACTACTGCTTGCCGTCGTAAAAGAGATAGAGAGCACTACATTGATTTATGTCAAATACGGGAATCAAAAATACGTAACGTCATCGTCATCTTAAAACAAATGTCCTCATTTTGCCATTTTTATAACTTACTTTCTCCAAAATTCCCCCGCCCCATTAACATAAACAACCTCTTAACTTTAGTGTTCTCCCCCCATATTGTTACTCTATGTAAATTTATCCACTTAAATAACATATATTTATAAATATTGTTTTGCTGTTTTGTTTTACATTCTCAACTGAGTACTCCCGTAGTCCAACTTACCAACACCGGTTAATGTCCTATTAGAGCTTAGCGAAAATTTTTTTTTTTGTTTCGTTTTTTTTTCTTTCAACTGTGACATTGGCAAAATCATCAGTTCTCATATTGATGGAGCCATAAAAATAAAAAGTGAAGTGAAGTAGTACCCTTTGATAACCGTTTCCGGTTGTCAAAGGGAAGTACATCAAATGTCAAAACAAATGTTTGACCAAATGTTTTAGTGAATTATTCGCATGAATTGTAATGAAATCGACCAAAACATTGACAGTGAGAACAATTAAGTATTGATAAAAATGTGTCGCTGCAGCATTAACGAGTGCGGCAGTAGAAAAAGTGGAAATCAACCGAATGTGACATTACAACGGTGTTATTTTCCTACCTATAATGATTTATTGTATGCTTACAATAGCCCAAATATCTCATCTAATTAGAGTCATTAAGTAGTTTATTCACAAGTCTTACCGAATTTTGCTTTGGTTACTATAGATTGCCTATTTGTTAGTATATTTTGATGATTATTGATAACGATTATTTTGAGATAGTGTTGTTCTTGTAAATAGACATATTATCGATATTCTGTTATTAAAACAATTCACTTCGAGGTTTTTATTATTTCATTATTATTATTTTCAAAGTTTACCTACAAATGAAAAAGGAAGAAAGAATCTTTGGAAATTATAGGACTGCCGAACATAAACATTGGATCAAATACCATCTTCGTTTGTTAGCTCTACAAAGAAAACTATTTTGTCTTTATTTAGTCGTCGTTACGGGAATTGTGACTGGGTGATAGGATAGCACAGTGTTACCTATTCTTACAGTCGGCCAACGAACACGTCTAGACGGAGCAATCGTGGGGGGTGTGTGAGGCAAGGCAGGGTACGAGCTCGAGCTGCCATATAGGTACTCGCTCGGGACACACCATTCAGGGTTGCGGCATTTACTCTAAAAATTTAATGTGAGTGTTGTAGTGATTTGATAAGTGGACAATGGTACAGTTATACTAGATTTTTGTGCTTTTAGATACTGCGTATCATATTTCGCATAAATTTGATCATATTTTTTAAAAGCAAAATGGCAGACACTTACGTCGCCGTCGCACCGCAACTAAAATCGAGCCGCTTGCTTTTACTCATTGTCTATTCGAATTTGGTATTATTTCTTAATCCATGAAGGCGAATACGACTTTTTCAATTAAAATCATTAATTATGGGTATCGATTTCGAGGTGTTTGGGAGTGCATAATACGAATATGGCATCAATTTGTAAATCCAAGATGGTGGACAAGACTTTGAAAAAAATAATTTTTGATGGTAACTCACTGTAAAAATGGCATTTATTTCTAAATCTACATGGCGGGCATGACTTTTCAAATAATGGCAAGTTGGGTATCGTTTTCGGGGTATTGAATTAGCATGCAAATCTTTGGAATATCCACAACATAGGGATGGAACCTCAGCCTACGACTAGCTTTAGAAATTTATGATTACCTATCATGCAATGTGAACCCGACTGTTTTAACTTCACGATACAATGAGATGTGCTCTTCGCGTAATTTGTGATCTAACTGCATACAGGCACATAATGTTAAAATAACAATATGAATTTTAAGGATCGAAAGCAACTAACCGACGATGGCAATTTCATGCTTTCGTTTTCAGGGATTTTCATCCACATATCTACTGAAGATTCACAGTCACGGATGAGAATCCTAATGCCAGGCCAACTCCAGTCATAGTCAAATTTACCCACATACTGTGGAACAACTGGATACGTTAGGTTTTTGTCCAGAAACCAGGGTATTTTGTAGGTGTCGAAAACGACACGTGGAACACACAACTTTCGGTGTGGAAAAATCTGAGGTACGCAATTTATAATAATAATAATATCGCACACACTCAACATAGCCCCATTACTAGGGAAACCCTGTGTCGCGGTTGCTATGGACACACAAATAAACAACCACAAACTACACCCAAACTCACGAGAGAAATAAATGTAGGCCATACAAATATTTCTCCCGGCCCGGGAATCGAACCTGGGACCTCTGCGTGGTAGTCGTCGTATGGTAACCGTTTAGCCACGTATGTATGTATACGTCCATCAGTTGTTAATTTCGTCTTTTAAAATATGAAAAGCTTGAGAAAAACACGTGCATTAGTTGGCATAGCGTCTGCCACGGTTTGCCAGGAGACGTCGTCGGTCGATTCGAATCCAGCCGGATCGAAGGAATTTTTTCTAAGTGTTCGGATATTTGTATTAATAATTATAACAAACTAGTGGAGTAATTTCACAAAAAATAATTGAATATCAATTCCATACAAATTTAATTTATTCAAACATGTTTTATTTCAATAAGTATTGTTTTTTAAACAAATAATAAATACTTCTACTTTAAGAAAAAGCTAAATGAAAATTATTTCTTCGAGAATGTATAGAATGTACGAGCTTTGTAATCGAGCAACCATGGTAGTTGAAAACACGCAATGATCTTATATACTTAAAAAATGTATAAGAACATTGAAAACACGTTTATTTCTAGAAACTTGAAAGATCTGATCGTGTTATTTCCTTACGCAAAGAATTATTCGCTATATAACATTATTCGAGAGAATTTAAGTAAGAATCTGAAGTCGCGAGACTTTTAGGACGTTTTCTTTATAA